AATATAATTTTGCTAAGAAACTAAATGTACAATTGCATACTTTGAGGAGATTTTGTACTCTTTATTTTCTGTGGTTTTCCAAGAACAAATTTAAGCAACCATCTCTCATATACACTGGAAGTATAGGATTGTTCCTCAGCAGTCTGAGAGAAAGGAGATGTCTGTTGTCTCCTACATTATCTTCTGGAAAATGGGATGCCAGACATTTTAAAGTTGTTTTTGAAGGTAAAATACTGGATAGAAATCTTCCTTTCTTTTCATTGTTTTAAAACTGTTTATGATAAATTTATTCTAATTTGTCGGCAACATGTAGTGCAGTGATCTGGACTGTCAGGGACCAGCCTGAGATGCAAACTTCAGTTTTAGTGCTAGGATACAGAAACACTGACAGTAAGGTATTTGGAAAGGCAAGTTTTGATACAACTACATTAATCGTTAGGCAGAATTGGAACCAAGCAGTTCGTTTGCAAATTTTGACTGTGCAGCCATGGTTCAGGTCTGCCTCTGCTTGTTTCCCATTTTGTTTTACAAATGTTTTAAGTTATCCACAAATGAACTGATTAGACTTAGGTAACATCTGTTGAAATAATCACAAAAGGAGAGTCTTTGAACAGTATCTCATTTGAGAGAACAATGTAGGTATGTCCATAAAATATAACAGGTTTTTACTGAGTTAATAAATTTAAACTTATATTTTCTAAATGGTTTTCCTTTTTGCCTAGAGAAGGGTATTTACACTTTATAACAAAAAACTCCCAATAATTTCATGGGAGAATTAAATAAGAGATATATATGTAGACTAGAGAAAGGTAATAGAAACAGTCCTGTCACTAGAATTAAAGGAGAATGGGCTATCATTAATTACTTTTGAGCTTATTCCACTCAATACAAAGAGATTTTTTTAATCTGCGTTGATCTGAGCAATCAGCTGAAACTTAAGATCTCATGAATTATTTTGATTAAGAGAAGTTGCTGAGCTATTTATGTTGTTAATACCATTCTACATATTGAGACGAAAGCTCAGTGTCTTCAGTACCGGAGAAGCCAACTGTTACTGAGATGTTTTTGTTTGTTTACTTTTTTGATTCAGGGTTCTAAACTTATTTCCAGTCAGTGTTGAGCCCCATGGCAGTCGCCTCATTTTCCTTAGGTCCTGCTCTTGGTACCAGTTCTGCTGTACCTTAAGTTTCTGCTTTTTTCTTCACTTGCCTGCATTTTCATGATTGTCTCCTGCAGAAATACAGGAGTGAAGGGCACACTCTTGGTGTTTGAGTTTGGTTTTCTGCTCTTGCAGACCTTCAACCTCTGATAGTTAAAAAGCCCCAAATATTAATGACAACTTTGTTCCAAAATTGTTCTTCTACTTGAACTTTTTTTCTTTTTCCTTGGCACTTCTGTCTTGACACCTACACAGATCTCCCCCTTAAGTCTTTTGTGTGTTAAGCTAAACAAAGCAAATGTTTTCAGTTTCTTCTCAAAATTTCCCTGACCATTGTAGAAGCCTTTATCTCTTGTACTTTGAATTCCTCTTTTAGAGATAGATGATCAGAATCAAGAACAGTAAGGTTTTAATAGAGCTTCGTGTTTTTTCATTAATGTTGATGTCTATGTACTAGAAATATGTTCCCTGATAATTTTAAAATTTCATCTCCATTTCCATAGGGACATCATGCTGGTAGCTCATAATTACTCTGTGATCAGCTTTGTCCCCACAGTTTCATCCACTGTAATTTTCAACTGCTGAGCTCTCAATTCTTAGCAGAAACTTAATAGTCTGTAAGTTCACATCTTCACATTAAATCTTACCCCAGTTTTATTCCTGTGGTCCTAGAAGTAATCCATGTCTTCCTGGTGCTATTCTATTCCTCGTATATTAGCAGTGCTTTCCAATATCAGAAATTTTTTGAACAAATGCAAACTGTGATTTTTGGTATCATTCGTACTACTTATGCTTGGGTCATTAATAAAAATATATAGTAAAATTGATCCCCCAAATATTGCTGAGGAATATGCGTTAGTATTGTTCTTCCAGCTCTTTGGTACAGCACTACATCATCTCACCTTACTTTTACAATCTCCAGTACCTTTCACTGATCTCAAATGTTCTTTATCACGATCATTAGTACTAGGAAACATGACTTAAATTTAATTTAAAAAGTTGAGTGACAGAGCTTCTGTTGTTTGCTCACTCACTGCTTAGGTCAGGTCTTTTTGATATGAAGCTGTTTTGTGATAGATGCAAAGTGACCATTATTTCACCTTGCATAATCCACAGGAACTCTGAATTTGCTTTTTTCTTTTTTTTTATTCTTTCTTTTTTCCTGTGAAGAAAAATGAAGTAAAAGCAAACTATATTTTTGGGTAATGCTTTTGTATGATATAAAGTGATACCTGTTGATATTCTAAAGAGAATGGATTGCAAGATTTTTGCCTTAACATCTCTCGGAATAAATATCTATACTTGATAAAATAGTATTGTATTTATACCCTCTGTCTGTTTTAACATTGCTAATGAAATGTTAAAATTTTCACTTTTGCAAAATAGTAATTGTATTGCCATGAGGAAAAATGCAGAATAACTTCTGGGAAAAGATTACACTAGATGGGATAATATGCAGGAAGAAATAACTGTATATTTCTGAGTGCATTTATAATTTGTGCTGAGATCTAAACTCAGGAAAATAGTCTTCTATCTTGTCTTTTGCTAGCTCTTGAATTCTTCAAATGTCCAGCTGGGGGAGAGATTATGTACTCATTGTGAACAAAAACTCTAAGTGATGTTTCTGACAGCTGTGGTTATAGCTCCTAGCTTTGTGTTTTTCACTCTTTGAGTGGAGATCATCACATAGTACGAAATTTGCACAGAGAGTGCCTACATTATATTTATGAAAGCTGGCTTGGCAGCATACTTTTTTTTTTCTTTTTTGGTCACTTCTTACCATCCTGCTGGGTTTCCTGTCCTAGCTAGGTGGCTTGTGGGGACTTGGAAGTGGCTGCCAGCAACTCACAGATACAAGGTACTCCCTTACGTAGTTGTAAGTAGCTACTGATCAGAATATAGTATTGCAGAACGGAGCATTTGCATGGAAGTAAATAACCTAGTATTTAGTAATGGTGTATTTTTTTTTTTTTTAAATTACCCTTGGAAATAAAAATACTACTTTGGGAGATATTTCCATTTCATACTGATATGGGGAAAACAGTTTTCCCCTTCTTTTACTGCTGAATCACACTTGTCTATTTTTTGAAGGGCCTTTTGTCGTCTTGTGTGTATGTATTTATATCCTGTGCACATAGATTTAGTAACATTTTCTTGGTTGAAAGTGAATTCACGAGTTATTCTGGAAAAACTTTAAAAGTGGCAGCTTTCAAGAACTTTCACAGTATTCAAAGTGGCACCCTGACTGCCACTATCATCAGCATTAAAAGACAGTGTCAGGTTGTTGGGCCTCAAGGTTAGATCTCTTGGAGAATATAAAAAGCAGCATCAAGTCTGGCCTGATCTGGTTCCCTGTCGCACTTTAAAGCCTCCTAGGGCTTCACTGACTAGCCTCTCCGAGGCTACGGAACATGTCACCGGAGACCCTATACGAATGTGTGGCTGAGTTCCCTTTCCCTGTAGATGAAGCGTCCTTACGTTGAGGCAGTACCACACTGTATAAAGTGAATCAATTAAAAATTGATAGCAGACAGTTTCTCTCTCTAAAGGGAAATATGTGGTATTCATGGATGAGAGCAATTTGCTATTATCAGTACCATAATGTGAATGACTATAAGCCAAACCTGATTAACTCTTAAGTTACTCAAAAGAGCAGTTACTACAACTGTATAATAATGTTAAACTAACAGAACAGGGTCTGGGTGAATTAATTTAGAACCATTTACTTCTAGTTTCAGCTTCTGCTTATATTTCAAAGTAAAGAAGGAAATCCAAATTAATTGGAAAACATGCAAGCTGTGGTTAACTTAGGGAAGATTTTTTTTTCTCCAAGTTTCATTTTTCTGTAAAATTCGACCTGTAGCAATATATTTCAATGTGTGTTGAGGGGATGTTCCTCTGCATTTAAGGATATGGACCAAGTGCCTCGATAGGACTTTCTCACTGTGCGAACATGAGTAATTTTTCTGTGGGTCTAGAATTCAGAGGAATTATTAAATGGTAACTTTTTCCAGTTTATTGGTGGCACTCTTTCATCTTAGTTCTGTGAAGTGATTTTTTTTTTTTTTTGCTTGTGTAAGTTTGTTGCCATACTGATAGCAACAATAAATATAAATAATGACTTATAATAATCAATTCACTTGTATCAAGTATGTGTTTTAATAAAAAGTCCAGTTATTACTTTGTAGTCTTAATAATTTAAAAATTACTAAGGAGGATACTGTACGTTTGTTAGTTTGAAAGGTCTCTCATATCAGAAAAAAACCCATGCACGATTGTTTTGTTTGATATCAAAACACATTTTTGCTGTCATAATACTGGCATGTTTTCAAGATGCTGTTTTCTGGCTGCTAGCAGGGAGTAATGGAAACAATGCAGTGATCATGCAATTTATTGAAAATAAGCACTAAAAATACTTAGGCAAGCAATGTTTTTAATTTAATAAGGTCTATGATTTGTAAGGCTGCATAAAAAAGCTGTTTCGGTACCGCGGGTATTTAAATGCCTTGCTGCCTATGAATTGTTTATAATTTCTTTCTGGTAATTTTCCTTCGGATCAGATTGTGATGCTTCTTCTGAATGGTGATAGTGCTTGTTGAGGAGTGGTCATGCAAGCAAAATTTGATAACCTCGATATGTCACTTCATCTGCCGTTTTTCTTTTGTTAATGCAAAGCTGGTTGCATAATATCTAATTTCTCCTTTAGCTGACCACAGATGAAAACAAAATCTATAATGGCAGCGCCAGGTTTTATAAAAAACGCAAGTGAGGAGTTGAAGGATGTGGCTTGTTCTGTTTGGATGATGCAGGATTGCTTTAAGCAGTAAGCTTACTGTTTTCAGATGGCATTAGCAGCATCAGTGATATAGCTGTGTCAGCCTCCTTGACTACTGGATGTCTGTAATCGCATGGAGGAAACTATATTTAAGATCTGATATCTTGAGGGTAATGACTCCAGCACTTACTGATGGGCAGAATGGGTGTTAATGCTTTCTTCAGCAGCCCAGAAGATTTTGAAAGATAGATGGGTCTGTGATGTACTTTTATAAGACAGGAAATGCAATTTTTGGGGGTCTCTGGAAATAGAAAGGTCATGCAGCTTGGAACCGGTGAGACATTACAGTCTCTAAGTCATCAGGTATGACCTCATAGTTTATACTAATATTTCTAACATAAGGGTTTGTTTTACAGTTTTAGGTCATTTGCAATCTCTTTGTCTGTGTAATTGCTTCATGTTGGATTTGCTACAGGATTTGTAGGGTAGACTGTTTACATAAGAAGAGCAATGTATATCTTGGAAATCTAATGTGTTGTTAATTGCTATTTGAGCAATGTAAGGTTATTCCATATATATTTTCAACCTGCCTTTATTGTGAATATGATTTCTTTTAACTAATTCATGGTAAAAGGTTATACCTTTGTAAAGTAAAATGACAAGACTATATTGCATTTTTATTTTGCTTTATCTTTACATGGCACACAAAGCTATTGTGTGAATGTGTGTGTTTGTTGTATGAAATGCAGTATAAGGCCACTGTTTACCTACAGTAGCAGGTTATTTAAAACAACGTATCACATTGTATAACAGGACTGATCTATTCTGCAGGCACAGATCTTGCTTCATTTTGCAGTAGTAGATTTTTTTTTTTCTGCTTCATTTCAAATCAGTTTTAAAAATAGCTCACTGAACACAACAGTGAAAGTTTGGCAAGATAACTCTCCCCTTTTTAATTATTGTACTGTGACACATACTAATACTAATAGGTTGTAAAAGAAAAGATTAATAACTGAAATATTTAGAATGTTGTTTAAAACCAAATGCATTTTACTGAAGCATGTCTCCTTTTTGTTTTTAACTGTTGCCAACTTCATTGCAAGGCTGATACTTTTGTATCTGCTGATGTATTGTGGTGATGGATAGGAAAGTCAAAGTACATAAAAGAAAACAAGTATATGGGTATATTGCATAGGAAGATCGTGGCCTAATTTCATGTATGGAGCACAAAATGGAATTGGAGATACTATTATATCACTTTAGGTATTATAAATGCTAGATAATAGCCATTGTTTCCCTTGAATACAGCATAGAGCAATTATATTTGAAATTGTAAGAAGTTTATTTTAAAAAAATGATACTGAGCTCCATCTTAAGAAATTCTAGATGTATTTGCAGAACATTTCCATGGCAACGTGTTTGGCCATGTGTTTTAAAAGCTCAGCTGAAGCCTGAAAGTAGTGTGCAATTTTTCTGCTGCTTGCTTTACTCTTGTGAAACAACAATTTTCACATGTATCTGGACTGCAGATTGGCAGGGATGAGCGGTATTTCCTGACCCCAAAGCACATGATTAAGTGGTCAAGATTAAAAAATATTTTCGTATTTCCACCTAGAAACGTAAACATGTAAAACACGGATTTGATTTTGCATTTAGAACTGTATTCCAGTTTCACCTCCATTTAATAACATTTTGTTGGAAATGCATGTGTGTGGGAGACCACAGAAGACCAAACTTAAGAATGTGCAGTGAATTGCTTCAGTAAAAATGGCTGTCTTTTCATTTTTAATTAAAAACATATTTGTAAAAAATGTTGTATTACTTTTACTGGCCATAATTTATAGTTTCCCAGTCTACTTATCCAGCTTACATTCTTATTAATAATGGGGAAAGACTGCCCTGCTCTTAAGCTTGATTAGGTTTGGCATGATTTAACTATACCTTTCACTTGCTACAAGATCTTTTTAATCTGTTAGAATTTATTTTCAGTATTTTAATGTATTAGTCACAATGAGTACATTCTGTTTCTTGGCATTGGAATGAAATTCCTGAAAGTATTGGTTTCATGGTATTTTGGTGCTTTGCAGGGTATTTATGGACTTTTTAAGAGGACCAACCCTCCCCCCAGCTTCTTTGTTTTCCTTATTCAAGTATAATATAAAATCTTGACTTACCTGTATTTTGAAGTTGTTCCTCAAGTCTCCTTTGCTCATTTAAAATAATTAGATCTCCATGGAATTTTGTGTAACTGGAAGCTATAGCAGTATGCCATGTGAATATCCTGGACTCTGTTTCATCATTTATGTTAATTCTGCAAACTGTGTTCTGTGGATGTTTTTGGAAATGTAGCATTGATAATAATGTCTAAATAGTGCAATAGACATCCATTGCAGCCTGTTTAGGATAGAAACTGTATCTACAGAGGAAAATAAATTGGTGAAGAATGCTTTCTTGAGGAAGTGGAATGTTTAGGTCATTCCATTTTGAAACAATGGTATTACTGACTATTGCAAGTGAGTTTGAATATGATTTTTCACTCAAAGGACATAGTCTCATTATAGGTCCTTCTTCATTTGGAAGGACTAGAGAATAATACCCCACAGGATTATATTAAGGAGGTGAAGTTCTTTTGTAAGAGAAGGAATTGCAGCAAGGTAGACACACACACATCAGAGCAAGCAATTGGACTGAAGTGATGTGAAAACTTAAAACTACAAACTATTTTGCTTGTTTAACTCCCCCCGCCCCCAAAAGGAAAGATTTAAAATATACTTGCTGATATTTGGACATATTGTACAAATTTGGAGTAACTGAATCCAGTGGCAGTGTGTTGGGATCAACTGAAAAAGAAGGGGTTTTTATGCCTTCTTTAAAACTATACCAACTGTCTTCAAACTAAGTTGATTGCAACTGTCAGTATGTGAAGAATGCTGTGTAAAGAAGAATCTCTCTAACTAAAGAGTTCTTTCCCCTTGGCTGTGCATGACGCACACACATCCGTGAGTATGCGTTTTCCTATCTTTAAACATTCTTATTCACAGAACTTGATGATAAAGACCTCATAAAGAAACAAAGCTCTGTATGGATGTTTTAGGTACAATGTTAACTAGCAAGTTGGGCAAGCAGCCCAATATTTGTGTCATTTACCAATTCTAAACATCAATGCTCACAATCCTGCACATACTCAGTTGTGTAGTGCTTTTATTTATTGCTGATTGCTGTTTGATTCCACACTACTGACTTTTTTTTCGTATGTTATAGTGCCGGTTTTTATTAAGGAAATGGCAACACTAGGATAAATAGGAGACCGTGGCCAGACATTCACAAATGGCAAAACAACACTGGAAACAAAAAGTACTTTCAGAGTGAGTTGAAGGAATTCAAGTCCTTTTGTCCTACATTAGTCTCCCTCCCAAGAGATGATCCTATTCTGTGGTCAGATTCTCCTCGTTTAGTGCTTGAACTCATATACCAAGTCATTGGGCCTAATGACCCAAATTAGGGAAGGCTTAGTATAAGCATGTCAGAAAGGTCTAAAACATAAATTAACATAGCATAAATATGTAATAGCTAACTGCAGGGTCACAAAATATATAGCTACATGACTAGTGTTCCAAGAATATCGCCACATGATCATTCTGAATAAAGACTATTTGAAGGAGTTTTGTAGGGACACACTATGAAAATGTGAACAAATCACAACAATAATGCTACAGTAACCTGTTAAAAGAATTTAAGATAGAGTCATAGTTAGTCCCAACCAATTCCTGTAGAGGTGGGACCACCTAAGAGGGAGTAGTAGGGAAGGTGGCCGTACTAATGCTGTAAGAGAGAATGGTTATGCATTACTCAGAATGGCATTTTGGAGAGAATCAGCAATCCCAACTATGGTTCATTCTCTGTCTCTCTCCCCTCCTCTCTCTCTTGTAATAAGCCTCATAAATAATATGACTTGTTCATATTGCTTCTTGTTTCTTTGCAAAACCATATTTATTTTGACCGACTTAATTTTTCAATTAAAGTTATTAATAAAAAGCATGAACATGAGTGCTCTTACACTACTGTGATCAGGGTCTTTGGCCTCATGATAATTTCTTTCAGTAGAAGCTAAGTATAAGTAGAAGCTGATCCATAATTCTGGTAAATTCCAATGGATTGCTTGATTAGTAAAATCAATATAAACTATAGAGTAAGCTACATAATACTTTCCATTGTGCCATACTGATTTTAGTGTGACCCTAAAAGGGAGAGCGTCTCTTTCCTGAGTCATTTAAAAAATGTATGTACCAGAAAGAGATTACAAGATGTGACTGATGATAAGGTGGGGAAATACTGCTATTCCTATTTTGTTAAGGGGATCAAGTTTTTTGTTATGTTTAAGTGATACTTCTCATATTTTAATTTGTGCCCATTTCCTCTTGCCCTGCCATTGGGCACCACTAAGAAGAGTCTGGCTAGGCCTTTGCTACTTCCCCCCAGTCAAGTATTTGTATGCTCTGATAAGACCCCTCTGAGCCTCCTCTCCTCCAGGCTGAAACAGTTCCAACCTTCTCAGCCTCGCCTTCTGTGACCTTTGTAGCCCGTTACTGGGCTTACTCCAGTATGTCCATGTCTCTCTTGTAAGAAGGGAGCCCAGAACTGGACAGAGCACTCCAGTTATGTCTCAACAGTGCTGGGTAGAGGGGCAGAATCGCATTGTCTAGGAAGGAAATTTGGATTCTCTGTTAGTTAGTCAATCAAATATGGGAAACTTTGGACAGGGATCCTTGAAAAATGAGGACTGAATGCACTGAAAATTATACATAGTAATGTTTGTTGGTAATCTTATGGAGAAGAAAAGGTTTGAAAATAGCTTTGTTTAAGTCATAGCCGTTGTTTTAGTGATGAAACCTCCTGTTGTTTTGGAGTGTCTTATATGGAATCTATGTCCCCCAATGCCAATTGATATAAGAAGAGAATCACTCCTAGAAGGAAAGATTAAGCTTTAATATTTTGAGCTAAGCAAATTTTAAAGTAACTGAATGAAAAGATATAATCTAGTATGATATCACTAATTAAAAAAAAAGTAGTAAACTATGGGGAACATGAACTCCAGGGATTTGTAAGTGGTGTTTTCAGTCAACTCGCCAAAAATGATTTGTTAATTTCTAGTGGAAACTGGGAGCTTGCACAGGGCTCTCAAATGTTCTCAACTGATGCAGCCACCATCAACTGATAAAAAATACTCAGCTTGGTGCATTGAATGAAAATGTAAAACAGGCATTAAGTGACATGAGGGAGTGTTGAGGTATTGTAAACATTTGCTCATTTTTATAATAGCTTCCCCCTTGTCCCCCAGGCTGCTTAAATAAAACAAAAATGTA